TAATTACACTTTTTTAATGTTTATAACATAAAAAAAAGTTTATCTTCCAAGTATCTCTATCATTTGTTTTACTGTGCTCCATATTATGAATTAAATAAAAGAGAGTGTTGTCTAAAGTCGTATCTGTATAATGATATATCGATTTTATTTTGAATTTTAGATTACTAATAGTATATGTATCTATACGTATATAATATATATATATTAATATAAATTTATACTATTTGGAATCTTAGTAGAATTAAGGTATTAATGTGTTATTTATATTTTTCCAAGATGAAATCCCTCCCCAACTTGCTACTGACTATATATCCTAATATCAGTGATACTAAAGTAATCTTAAGTAAGATTTTAATTTATTTTAATGATTCAAATTGTGTCTGATGGTATGAATATGACAAATGCTTTCTGAAGTATAAAAGGTTACTGGTTAGTAACATAATAACATAAAAGTCCAAAAATTAAAATTATTTGTTTTATTTAAACTTTAAACATAGATAATAAAAACCTGATGCTCGTTATAAAATCGTCCATAAATTGTATTAATTAAGTAATTTATTGATAAACTTACATTTATAATATTTAAATGTATCACATTAGTGGCTTAAAATAACTAGGGGATGTATGGGTCATATTTGCAATCTCTGAAAAATTCAAAGGTAGCAAAGGTGTTGTATCGCAACCTCAGAAATTTTTAAAATTATAAGTAGCTGCTTAAATTTTAGAATGTATTTATATTAATTCATATTGAAAATAAAATATTATGTTATTATTTTTAGGAAAATAATATGAAAATTGCTAAAAAAAAATTTGTCGTATGAAGTTAGAAGTCTCCCAAAGACCCCCAAAATTTCGCCCAACTTATGCCACTATAATACAGAGTATTTAATTAAATACTTAAAATAATTGATAGTTTGTTAATGCTAGAACTAAAGTTTACATATTTCCATTGTTGAAAATGATGGGTTTTGCAGTATTGCCAATCCTCCAGGAATAACAATATCCAATACTTCCTCTAAATGTTTCACTAGGATAATATTTAAATCCTCCTAAAACAAATAGTTTTTTGAAATGATTAAAAATTACGAGCAACATCATACATTTACTTCTTAATAAGTAAAAGTACAAATATCAATTAATTTCAATTTTAATTATTCTTACTCTGATATTGTTAGGTATTTTTTTTAAATCTTTCAAATTAAGTTCAGGTATGATGACCGTTTTAATATTTGAATTGTGTGCAGCTAAAATTTTTTCTTTTACTCCACCGACCTTTTAAGGAAAAAAAAATATATTAAAAATTACTAATTAACTACATTATTTAATATGACATACAGGCAAGACATATCCATTCAATGATATTTCTCCAGTCATTGCAATCATTGGTCTTAAAGGTATTTTCCAAAAAAGAGAGATTAATGCACACACAATTGTTATCCCGGCAGATGGCCCATCTTTTGGAATTCCTCCTGTAGGTAAATGAACATGAACACAGAAATCTTGTATGTTAACTTCATTCTAAATAATAAAAACGCAATAAGATAATGGACAAGTGATTTTTTTTTTATGTGTTAACTAAAAAATTAAATAGTAGTTTACTTTTTTTACAAATGCTTGTATCCAATGCTGTGCTATTGACACTGATTCTTTTAGAGTTTGGCCTGCTAGACCAGTTAGGACTAGCTGATTTTTCTCGTTAGTCGAATACAATTTAGTTGCTTCAATAACTTGAACCATCCCACCGACTCGAGACCACGCCATTCCAATAGCAACACCTATTTTGTTACAACTTTCTTCTACTAGTGTATTTTTTACATTGTATAATTCACTCTAAAAAAACATTTATTTAGCTATAAAACTCATTGAGAAATACTTCCCTTAAAGTACTTACATCGAGAATATTCAATAATAATTCTGGTGTGATCACATAGTTTTTTATTGTTTTATCACCATTCTCAACTATATCTACAGCAACGTAATGACAAATAACTTCTAGTTTACGCTGCAATTCTCTTACACCAGATTCATTTGTATATTTTTGAACTAATCAAAATAAAATACTTATTTTATTACATAATACTGTAGATAATAATAAATTATAATTCATACTTATATCTTTTATTGTATTTTTGCAAATAGTTATCTGCAACTCATTCATATTATGATCTTTAAGTATCTTGGGAATCAAATAAGTTTCTGCAATTTGCATTTTTTCTTCCTATACAATTAAGTAAATTACTTAATATTTATATGATATTAACTATTTTTGTTCATTAAAATAAAATACTTGTGTGTATCCTTCCAAATAAATTATTTCCATTCGATCACGCAATGTCTGAGGTATATTAGCAGCACTATTAGCTGTTGATATAAACATTACTTGACTGACATCAAATGGCAAGTTAATAWATGAATCGACAAATGAACTATTTTGTTCTGGATCTAAAACTTCTAATAATGCTGCAGCAGGATCACCACTTACACCTCTGTACTAAAAATAAACAAGAAATGTATATACATAAAAATATGTTGWATTATAATTTAACAATAAATAATTATAATTAATTTACCATCTTATCAATTTCATCCAATAAAATTAMAGGATTGTTGGTTTTTGCTTGTTGAATTGCTTGAATTATACATCCAGGCATAGCTCCGATATATGTTCTTCTGTGTCCTTTAATATCTGAATAGTGGTTTATCCCACCTAATGATATTCTAAAATTAAATTAATTAGTTTGTTTTTTGATTATAATGCAATGAAATAATTATGTGAATCAGTTTTTAAAAACAAGTTARTTAATTAAACCTTTTAAAAGTTCGATTTAACGAACTGGAAATAGCTTTAGCGATAGATGTCTTGCCAACACCAGGTGGCCCAATAAAACAAAGTATAGGTCCTCGACGATCTGGGTTCAATATTTTTACAGCTATGAATTGCAATATTCTATTTTTCACCTTTTCCATGCCATAATGGTTTGATTTCAATACCTTCAAGAATACAAAATAATTAATCTTAATTTTAAAACAGGTGCCTTCTTTAATAAATATTTACATTTTTAGCTTTTTTCAGATCTAAAGTTTCATTTGTACGTTTTTTCCATGGTAAATTTGCAACATAGCTGATATAATTTATAAGTACAGAATAATCAGGATTGCTAGTACTCATTTCATGAAGTCTTTTAAATTCTTCCATAATTGTTTTATGTATTGGTGTTGGCATTCCAGAATCTCTGAATGAAACAAACAATAGCAATAAAATAAATAAATATAAATACATTTTTTTGATATGTATGATATGCATACACATATCATTCATATCATATAACTTACTGAATGGTTGTTTGTAATTGATTTAATTCTTGTGAAATTGGTTTCTTCAGCAGAATACTCCTGTTACCACCAATACCATTAGTAAGTGTAGATGGGATTGGAATTAAACCTGTTTTTTCAGATTTTGTGTATTTGTTGTCATCTAGAATATAATCAACAAATTATAAATGTCTTCCAATTTAAATGTAAAATAAGCTGAAAAATATTCTATATTACATACTAATTGTTGCTCTTTTTAACCAATCTGTAACAAATTTCAATGTATCGTTTAAACTTGTAGCTCTAAGAATTTCATAGGCATCTGCTGGAGTTAAACGTACAAAATTCTTCAAATAAAAATCAACAGTTTGATATAGGGGAGTTTTATTAAATAACATCTGTAAAGTAATATCAGCATTAGTCAATTTAATAAATTAATTGATAGTTTATATATAATTATACTTGATCTTGCCTTTAAGGTATCTCTTGCAAATATGCCTGGTTCTGAATATGTTAAAAAGTCATTCACAACTTTATTAAATTCAGTGTGGAGTTCATTTATTGTCTTTTCGTCGCCTAAATGATGAAATATTTAATTAATGATTTACATAATATATTTGAATCACGTATCAATGTATCAATTTTTAATTACCTTGGAGGGTTTTAAAATTTTCTATCGTAATAACTTTATTAATTTGTAATGGCTCATCAGAAATTTTTTCATCTAATTTAAAACGACATATTCCTTCCGTGACAAAAACAAAATTTTCAGGAATATCTCCRACTTTAATTATGCTAAGAACCCGGCCCACTGTTCCAATTATATTATTAGCCTAAAATGTGTAAATATTATTGATAAATTATCAATAATTGTAATTTGTATTTTATAATATAAATTATTTTTAATTATTACCTTTTCAAAATCTGATTTTGGTATCACACCTATATGTATTGATTTTGAATCATGATTAGTTTGAAGATAATTCAATAAATTAGAGCTGAAAATATAGTTAACATTAATTTATTAAAATATATTTTTATGTTTTAAATTAAATGATTGACAAACTCAATAAACTAATATTTTATATTTCACTAAATTATTTTTAATGAATGAAGTTTATTCAAAGGTTAAATGTATATATAAGGGCTATGCCCAAAATGAGATTACATTTTTTTTACTGTTTCTTTAATAAATAGCAAAACTTCTAAAGAAGTTAAACTCAAGAAAATTTTATAAAAAGCACTATTATTAAGGTTTTATAATGGTGTGATTTTTCAGTTATATTTGTTACTAAAAAATGTCTATGCTAATATTTACATTGGTATAAGTATGTGCATTCCAGGCAGATTTCTAACACAAAACTATGTTAACAATAACATATTTTCCTCTGTCGCCAAGTCTGTACATATTCTAAATATAGTATAGTATACTTAAATACAAGTTGTAAACTATAGGCAATAAGCATATTTTAAGAAAGTGTTTGAAACAGGGTGTCTCGCGAGAATTTATCTATTGCGATACCTCCAGAGATAATAAATATATTATAGGGTAATCTGTTGTTTCTTTTTTACCATACAAGACCATACATTCATTATTTAAAAAAATAAAGATATCTATGTTATAGAGTTAATTTTTCTGAAAATTTTGACCTCTCAATATTTTATTTTCATTAATCTCATGATTTTTAATAATGACTTAGTTAATAGATAAAATGGCAAAAAATTGGTTTTTGACTTTTTGTCCATGCAGAAAGTCTCCTTATACGGCTAATGGGTATATCCTTACAGGGAACCCCTGTATAAACCTAAAGCACTCTTTGATAAACATTTTTATCACATATTTTTATACTATAAGTATCATATTAATCTTCAGTATCGGATTCAGAAGAAATGGCCCAAAAGGCAATGTTCTTATGTTTTTATTCGTAGCTCAGTACCCTTATGGTTCATAGTCACATCAATATTTATTTACAGACTAGCATATCCGTTCTATTATAATAACTAATAAAACACAAATTATATATGAGATACTTTGATTAAAATTATAGGCAATAGCTATATTTGAAAATATTTTGTGCTCAAAGTAATCAGCACTAATTTCTTGTATTACTTAATGATTAATCCAGCCTTGGAAGTTTTTTTTTACTAATTACTTTCTAATTTAATTTTAGTTCTTCTCAAAGTTTTAATGTCATTTGGCACAGATTAATCAAAACATGGATAAAAATGACCCTTGATTAATTTTTAATACATATGGTACCAACTACTTATATATATATACATATATCATAAATTGTATGGTTTGATCATGAACTTATACTAATATTCCTATTACCTCAATAGTTGAGATTTAAAACTGTTTGGCATTAAAAATAATTGTATAAGTAATATTTATCATCAAATGTTTAGCAGCCGTAGGCCCAATCACCAGATATATTGAGCTGGCCCAGTCAGCTCCTGGTATTCTGTATTCTGTATATCTCACATAACTATAAATTCTCAGATTATACATTATATACTTATATATTTTATGATAACACAATAATTGTTCAATACAACAAAAAAAAAGATTGAAGCAAAAATCTTAAAAAATAACCACTAAAATAGTCATTTAATATTGATAAATAAATAATTGTAGAATATCTTAAAAGTAGTAATGTACAATAAGACTAAGTATTGGTTGTTTATTAAATAATGTATGATTTTATGTATTCTTACTATTTTTCAACTGGTAATCGAATTTTCAAAATATAACCAGGAATCAAAACTGGTGTTGTATAAATAATAGGCAATTCATTGGGAATATTCATTTTTGCATTAAGATTAACAAAATAATAGTCTTAATTTTGTTATAGTTCCGAAACGTTATTTGGCAATTGTTAAATCAAAATTAATTATTAAGTATTAAAATGAAATAAATTAACGTCAGAAATTAAAGAGTTATTTCCAAATCACTAAATAACACATGGGCAAATGGATATTAAATAATATTATGTCAGTTACGCCGTGCACTGCGTCAGTAGTGACATATCAAAACAAAATACATAAGACATAACAAACTACAAATAACTACTTGTAATAGTCTGAAAAAAGTTTGAAAATTTATTTATTGAAAACGAACATGCAACATGCACTATGCCATCTGCATGTTGACTGTTTTTTTATCTTTGGCCGAATTCTTATCACGGGCCGAACTACTGTCCCCATCATGAACTAAGATATACTTATTTATATAGATATTATATATCTTAGTTCATGGTTCATGGTCCCCATCATAAGGTGTGTTTTCGCGCTTAACCTGTTTATACTTTTAATCAGATGTGGTTACATGATTTTGGTTATTGACATAGACCTTATACTATATCTAGATATCTCTAATCTTCATGCCTCATGGATATAGAATAATAATTATAGATTTAAAACCACGACCATGGATTAAAACATCAACTGTCATTTGTATTTTTTATTTTTTTAATAAAAATTATCGTTATTCATTACCTTTTAAAAATCTGATTAGTGATTTATAGGTATTACACTATAATATAGTATAATATTATATACCTATTGATTTTGAATATTATGATATCGATTAAAGCTAAAAATATTTAGTTAATATTTGGTTATTACAATGTACACTAAATAAGTAAAGATTTAAAAAAATGTAAATATAAATATTCCTAATTTAAGAATAACTTTTACTCAATCAGTACGTATTATGTATTTTTAAGCTTCTGTGAAATTTAATATTCGTTCTTAAAACTTTTATACAAGGTGTAAGAACTGTAAGAAAGGTGATAGAACTGACATTTGAAACAGTGGAGTAGTTATGATTTTGTTCTGGGGGGGGATATACATATAATTTATTGGTTAAACATAAAGTGGGGGGCTTTGCCCCCCACACCCTCTAACAGTTCTTTTAATTTTTAAACATAAACTATACACAGTTAAATTGATACTTATTTATTACCGCCAGTACACCGTATACAATTTAGTATTTCCCCACCACTCTTGTTTGTTATCGCTCCACCATAAATAAAATAAGCAATAGAAATTTAAAAAAATATATATTATGCATAATATTTATACATTAAAAAAAAAAATTGTAATTCAAAATGAAAACATTTATAACACTATAATTTATAAAATAATAATATCCAATTTTATTGGTTTTTTAGCTGACTATTGTGTCAGTTCTACTGTGTCAATGTGTACATTTTTGTGACAGCTAACATGGTTAATCCATTCAATCGATCCTATTCCTATATAAGATGGATAAATGGATTATATCCGTAATTATAAATTATGACATAATATGGCCAATATGGGTAATTTTATAACCAAATAATCTTATATCAGTATATAAGTCAATGCATTAATATAAAAAAAGGGCTCTGGGGGGATCTATCCCCATCATCTCCCCTCCCACCATAAATACGCAATCGTTCTCTATTTTCATTGCCAACGTCTCCCTCTAACACCGTTAACACATTCGCTACTACTACTACTACCAAGAAATCAAGATTCTTTGTCTCTCCAAGTCGCTATTCTGTCGTCGCCGAAAACGAGACCTACTCCACCGACTCTAACGATAACAATCCAGTAGACGTCGACTCACAAAGCCAGGGGTCCGTGCACTCTACCACACATACACAAAAGAAAATAGATTTGCCACCAACGATATTTGTTTAAGGCGTTAAAAATGTTTTCGAACGATCCAAAGAACTAGCTATTATCAATGACCCAGACATTTCAGTTATAAGTCAACGTCTTAGCATCATAAACTCCAGCTTGACACCTCTGATAACTACCGAAAAACAACAATCCATTTTCTGAAAGACAATAAGGTGCAGTATCACTCATATCAATTAAAATCTGATAAAGTTTTTCAGAGTAGTGTTAAGAAATCTCCATCCAACGACTCCCGTTTCCGAAATCTCAGCAGCAATTGAAAAAATCGGTCATACTGTCAGGCAAGTCACTATTATTATTCATCATCAAACCAAAATTCCATTACCATTGTTCTTTATAGACCTTGAGATCGAATAGAACAATAGTGGTATATTTGATATTTTGATGTTACATACACAAAAATCATAGTCAAAGACCCACAACAAGCAAAGACAGATTTCCCAGTATTTAAATTGCCAATCTTATAGTCATACTAAAAGCTATTGCAACTATTTTCCACGTTGTGTATGTGGCGGAAATCATCTCTCCACTAGCTGTTCTAAGTCACGCGAAACTCCGGCCACCTGTGCTCTGTGCAATACCAATCCTCCAAAAAACTATAAGGGCTGCGCTGTCTATAAAGAATTGCAGCAACGACGTCGCCATCCCGTGAGCTCCAAGCATGCCCGTCTACAGCATTCACAACAGCCTCAACATCCTCCAGCCGACCAGTCCAACTATCTACCAACCAAGCAACCTCTCTCACCACTAATAAACCTAGTACTCGTTCATACGCTAATGTAACAGGTTCAAAATAATACTTATAAGTTTCAACCAATGTTGATTTCATGTTGACCAAATTCTTGGATGAATTTAAATCAATAGTTAACCCCTTAATCACCCTTCTGACTACTGCCATCACTAAACTTGTTGAATCCAAAAATTATAAATAATCCATACACCTCTAACCCCTCTCCTAAACCCAAGGCTGGGCAAGTTAATAATTTTTTTTAACTCAGTTAAGTTAAGTTAAATTAAAATCTAAATCAATTAATAGTTAAAAGTTAATTCAAAATGTTCTATCAATTGAATTAAGTTAAGAGTTAACCAAAATTTAATATTAACTTTTTAACTCAAGTTAAGTTTAAAAAAGCTTCTTGTTTTCTCATAGGTAAAATTAAAATAATCGGTACCTAAAATTGTTCATGTTATTAGACCAAAGAACTATTACTATTTTATGTGTGCAAAAGCTAACAGTACACATTTT